CCGTAGGAAGGTTTTTTTTTTCAATTCCACAGGAATTCCAAACAACTTTAAAGAAATTTTCTGGAATTTCACAGTTTTTTTTTAAATACCACTAAAATTCCCATTAATCCACAGGAATATTGCTAAAGTATTGAGTAATTTCATAAAAACTTTTCGGAATTTCACGAAAATTTCATATTATTTGAGAATTTCACCTAAATTTTAAATTTTTCCACGGGATTTCCATGTAATTTCACGAGAATTCTTGGGAATTCAATAAAAAATTTAAGTAATTTCACAAGAATTTTAAGTGATAAACGGAAATTTTTGCAATTTTATTTTTCTCAATTTTACGAGAATTTCAAGTGATACCAAAGAAATTCTTCAAAATTCCACTGAAATTACAGATAACTTACAAGGATTCCATGTAATTCTACAGGATTTTTTTTTTGAAATTTAACGCGAATTCCACGTAATTTTACTTGAATATTTTGAAATTTCATGGGAATTTTCTGGAATTTCACGAGAATAACTTAAAATTCGGTAAGCATTGAGTCGAATACTCGGAAAATTTCGTCGTAATTCGTTCGCTGTATCACATAATTTTACTGGAATCCCACGTAATTCCACTATAATTCTAAAATAATTTCACAAGAATTTTTTAAAGTTGCATGAAAATTTAATGTAATTTTTACGGGAATTTTTTGGAATTTTACGAGAATAACTTGGAATTCTGGTAGAATTACGTGGAATTTCCGGAAAATAGATGGAATATTATCGGAATTCCACGTAATTCCACTAAAATCTCGAATAAAAGATTTGTGATATTCGAGTAAGTTGTTAGTAGCTCATTACTTATTAGTTATTTCAAATTTCAATAATTATTATTAAAAATTTGCCTGAATTTTCAAGTATACATAAGGTAAAATTCAGCGCAACCGTAACGACGGTGTCAAAGTCTTTAAAATGTACCGAGTTACTTGGTAAATTTTAAAAAAATTGCACACCAGAATTTCTCGTAATTCCATAAAAATTCTACTAAAAATCCATGTAATTTGAAGGAAATTTTCTGTAATTGCGAGAAATTTCAACAGAATTCCTCGAAATTTTGAATATTATCATATTTTTTTTTGGAATTTCAGGAGAATAATTTAAAATTTTGGAGAAATTACTTGAAACTGAAGGAAAATAATGGAATTTTATCGGAATTTTATAATTTTACCGGAATTCCACATATTTTTGTTTGGAGTTCTACGTCATATCCCTGGAATTTTATTAAATTGCACAAAATTTTTATAAAATTTCGCATAATTTTCACGTAATTCCGCATAATTTCAATGGAAGTGTGCATAGTTTTTATAGAATATTGCATATTTTCTATAGAATTCCGCAGAAATTCTTTGGACTTTTGCATAGTTTCTATGAAATTTCGCATAATTTTTATAGAATTCCATACAACACATAATTTTTATGGGATTTTGATTTTTTTGAAACACAACACTTTTTTTGGAATTCTATGTCGTTTTCCATTTAATTTTACTAGAATGCTGCATAATTTTAATGGGATTTGGCATATTTTCAATGAAATTCTGCATACTCAAAGTAAACTTTTAGTCCAAATTTTATCAAAAATTTCAAACTCGATTTTCTCGAAAACCATAAGAGCTAGCGATTTTAACTAAATACCATTTTTTAAACCCTTGTCAAGAGTTACATTTCCTAAAAATTTTAATTCAAAATCTTTGATAGATTTTAAGATATCCAAGATCAAATATTTTGAAATAAAAATCTAAAGGGGTAACCCTTTGAAAAATTCAAATTTTTTATTGTTCATATTTATTGAATTTTGACTTTTCCAATCGATAGAGCGGGTCTAAATTAGTCGAAAAAAACTCTAACATCATTACAAAATCTTGATTTCAACACAGAGAAAAATTAAAAAGAAAATCTCAATTTTTAGGTTTAAATTTTTTTTGAATCCTGACAAGGTTAGGAGCAATTGCCAATACTTCTATTAAATTTTGAGCAAATCAAAATAAATTATATATGGTTGGAAAGAGCATCAAATTATCTATAAATCAGTGCTAGATTGAGTTTGATAACCCAAATACTTTTAGAGCAATTGAGCCTCAAAGTTGGATTTTAGTCGAAAAAGTATCAAAAACTTCAAACTAAATTTTTTCAAAAACCGTAAATGCCAACGACTTCAACCAAGTACCATTTTAAAGCCCTCATCAAGGGCTACAATCTCAAAAAAAATTGATCCAAAATCTTTGACGGGTTTCGAGAAAATTGAGTTTGAACATTTTGAAAGAAAAATTTAAAGGGGTACTTTTTGGAAAAAAATTAAAAAACTCAAAATTTTCATTTTCCAGATTTTTGCAATTTTGACTTTTCCAATATACCGCGAGTTCAAATTAGTCGAAAAAAACTCTAACATCATTACAAAATCTTGATTTCAATACAGAGAAAAATTTAAAAAAAAAAATCTCAATTTTTAGGTTTAAATTTTTTTTGAATCCCATCAAAGTTAGGAGCAATTGCCAATACCTCCATTAAAATTCACGTAAATCAAAATAAATTATATATGGTTGGAAAGAGCATTAAATTCTCTATAAATCAGTGCTAGATTGAGTTTCATAACTCAAATACTTTTCGCACAATTGAGCCTCAAAGTTGTTTTACTCGAAATTTAGTCAAAAACTTCAAACTCTATTTTCTCAAAAACCGTAAATGCCAGCGACTTAAACTGAGTACCATTTTGAAGCCCTTATTAGGAGCTACAAAATTGATCCAAAATCTCTGACGGATTCCGAGAAAATTAAATTTGAAATTTTTGAAATAAAAATCCAAATCCTTTAAAAAAAACTACTTGTCATGATTTCAGCCCAGGATTGCTTCAAAGTTCACTTAGTTTTTGATAAGTAGTAATCTTATCGCTTGTCATAAATGATATTTGACATTTTCTCCAACAGTGTTGCCGATGTTTATATAATTACTGTTATGGAAAAAACCTACTTGGGCTTTTTTTTTGTATAAATTCGAGCCTCAATGATTGACACAATATTTGTTGTAGTTGGCAACACTGTTTGACAAGGGACAAAGTAGGTATTGCAAAATTTTAAAATTCAAATATTGCGCTCTGTAATACCGACATTGCAATACATACATGTTTCCAAAGCCTACTTGGTTTGATATAAGCCCGTTAATTCGAGAATTTTCCTGAAAAATCAACTTTCAAGATTTCTGGTGTTTTTTTTTTAAATCTGGTGATTTTTCATTCCAATTTCTGGTGAATTTAATCTTTTTGACCTGGCAACAGTGATAAGGTCTGTAGGTAAAAGGCTGGTCGTCTGTGAGCTTGATAACCATCTCAGCTGATTTAGCTTGCCCAAAATGTTCAGATACAGTGCCGAATAGATCTCTAAGTTCCTGTCATATATCCAGAAGTTTCTCCCGAAGTTGCCGGTCACTCGTACCAATTTCAACATATTTTCCTTCTATTTGGGAAAGTTTGTTAATTTCAAGTCGCAGTATACGTGCAGATTGGTCTCTAGCGTCCATTTTGCAAAAGAATGCTTTAGCTATAGGATCTTTATTGCTTAGAGTGAGATCTTTGCCTGATACATTTATTATTGGGATTACTGGTACGTTTTCTGGAGATAAATGAATAATTGCATATTCTTTCCCTAGTTGGCATCTGAAACAGGCTTTAATGTAAAAGTGACAAAAGTCAGTGGCGGCTCGTGAGAGGGCGTCCCCCAAAAAATTGAAAATTCAATCTCAGTTTTTTATTCCCGATTCCTAATTAAAATAATAATTCACAAATTACACTTTCCAAATTTCGATATTTCAATGTAATTTAGAAAAATCAATCCCGCGCCTCCACGACAAAAATTTGTGAATCTGGGATACTGAGTAATACAGGCCCGAAGGGCCGGAATTATACGCGAGCCTAAAGAGCTGGAGTAATACGAGCCCGAAAGGCCGGAATTATACGCGATCTCGAAGGGCTAGAGTTATTTTAATCACGGGGCCCAGTCTATATTTCTATTGGTCAGCGGATAATTTGGAGCCAATCAAAAATCGGGAATATTCAAAATGTGATTTTTAGTCGATATTAGTCGTCAAGATAAGCTGCAGCTATATGTCGCGATATGGTCCTAATATTTGCTTCATCATGCACTGGAAGACTGCTGGTGCGTTACTGAGTCCAAATGGCATTCGATTGTACTCGTATTGTCCGTCAGGTGTTACAAAAGATGTAAGGTGTTTACTATGTTCGGCTATTGGAATTTGGTAGTATTTAGAGCTATTGTTCGTCGATTTTTAAGTGATACTTGCGGTATGAGGAGCGAGAGGGTGTTTCATATGGCAAAAACAGGTGTGACGTCAGGTAACCATTGGCATTCTAATGTTAGGAGCCACCAGCTCACATTCCGTCCGAGTATCAGATTAAAATCGACGAACAATAAGGTCTAAGCTGGTGAATACTGTTCATCCGCTTAATTTATCTATCTGGTCATCAATACGAGGCAGTGGATGTCTGTCTCTGATTATTTTGAGGTTAGGTTTTCTATAATCCATATACATTCTGTCATTGCCATCTTTCTTCTTAACTAAGAGCACAGGATTATAGTCTAGTTGTTGAAGTTCACTGAATCTCAGACTTTTACTATCTTTTAATACAAGTAACCCTGGTTGCTCAGTAAATGCTTGTCTTATTAATATTGGAACCTTCTGTAGATTATCAGGAACCACAAAGCAATCTACAGTTTTTTGGACACAATCAAATTTCAATGTGACTATTATTTTTTCTCCGATCTGTATGTGGTTCATTCCAAAACCTTTCAAGGTAACTTCACTGTCTAAAATGGGAATATCGAGCTGTTTTGCCTCGGATAAACGTATCAGATTGCAACTAGCACCGAAATCCATATGTGATGTTTTTGGTGATGGCTTCTTTAAAATATTTCTTATTGTTGGTAAAATACTAAATGTAAATTTCTTTTTATTTTAAGGCTCTTCTACAAGCCCACGACGTAGTGGCCCACGAAGTATACGGCGAAGATGCCGTACGAGTCACGCCGCCTCCTCTACTGCCCTATCTCAATGGAGGCGACGACTTGGACGGGCCCAATGGAGAAGTGGAAATGGAAAATGTGACCCGAGTCCGTCTGGTACAGTTCCAAAAGAACACCGACGAACCAATGGTAAATAATCATTAAACTTTCTAGCCATTAACTGCAGACTTTGTAACGATTCTAAAAACACATTACCGTTTTGTGTCAGTTGCGTATTTGGAAACCATTGGGTATAAAGTTTACAGTGATAAAGTTCATTTGCTACTCTTGTGTCGTAATCAGGCCTTTTCAATGCCTCCTAATTAGCTTTTCAACTTTCTAGCGCTTTATTTTAAACTAAGTTAGTTTTCCTCCCAATAAATACAGAAAATTGAAAACTACCTCAACCATTTAAATGAAAAATATATTCGTTCCTATATAAACGTTCTTGGCATTGCTTATAGAACATGTTATGGATCTTTAGAATTGCCTAACACATGCTGTCGAATAATAGAGCAAGAGAGCTCGTACGCCAAAAACCGCCTCAAGGAAATGATATTTTGGCTTGAATATGCTATTGACGTAATATTAAGCTTTTCTGCATTCGGCTTCTGCGAGAGAAAATACCATTTTGGATGAGCTTCTTTGACTGTAATGGTGTAGTCATTTGTTGAAACTTGACTAATTATTCAAGGCGCAAATGATATACAATTACTGAGGAGATTATTAATTTAAATGCTGACTAATTTTCTTGGGATATGTCTAATAACTTTTTTAATTAAGGACATTTTACGCAGCAATACAATTTTATGTAGAGGAAATTTGATCCATTTATCAATTAGTATTTTAAAGTTGAATAAAGTCTTCAAAGTCTCTAGGACTTTCAGTCACAATTGAAACTTTCCAATTTCCAGAATATAAGAATTCTGAATAGAAAATCTTGGCCAATATTGACTCGTAAACCAAGGATTTTGACTCAAAAATCCTCAGAATCTTTGACTTGGTTCTCAGTATCAAGTGTGGCATAAGTCAAAGTATTGACTCTCGTTCTCAATATAAAATCTTGATTCAGAGTATTCAGTAAATATTGAGTCTTTGGAGAATCTGAGATTTTAAAATTGAAAATCTTGCCTCTTTGACATAGAATTGATCGTTGAACCAATAATTTTGATTCAAAGGTCTTGACTACTTAGAGTCTTCCAGAACTGTTTCCAGTTATGAGTCGCTTCAGACTCGATTTTTCATAGTTTCCAGTATGAAGTTTTCTTGAGTGTTGACTGCTTAGAGTCTTGCAGAACTGTATTCAGTTATGAGTCACTTCAGACTTGATTTTTCATAATTTTCAGTGTGAAGTCTCAAGTCTTCAAATAGTCTACAAACTTGACTTCTTAGAGTTTTCAGTAATGAGTCTTTTGAGTTTCCAGAATATGAGAGTTATAAATTAGGAATCTTGTTTCTGTCGAGTCGAGTGTCAAACTATTGACTGTTGAACCAGTGATTTTGACTCGAAGGTCCTCAAAATTATGAGTATTGACTACTTAGAAGTGTTGCAGTAGAGTGTCCGTAGTTACAAGTCGCTTCAAAATCCTTTGACTTGATGTCTCACAGCTCTCAGTATAAAGTCAGGAGTTTTCGAAATCTCTAAAATGTTGACTTAAAAATTGTATATTAGAAATCTATACAGGGTGGTCCTTCGGGAATGACATCGATTGCTTATGGGAAAACTGTGAAAGGTAAAAATTTGAAAATTTGGCAACATAGCAATGTCGATGGGGGACATCTAGGTAAAATATTTTCAAGATGGCGGCATTTCCGGTCATACCGGAAGTTGATACCAACTCGGTTATTTTAAATAGAACACCCCGTATATAAATGTATTTTTGAATTCTACATAAAATTCTGAGCAGATTTCATGTAATATACCCTATACCTAAGTTCAACTGTTTTGGAAATATTGACAGTTGAAAATTGACTTTTTGCAACTTTGACAGGCTGTAAAACCTGAACAATTAATTTTAGAGGAAACCCGATTTGACATTCCTATCTTAGATTTTTATAAACTATCATTTGACATCAACTTTGAATTAAATCCATGATTAAAAATTTCAGTTAAATTTAATCTCCGTTTAAGTTCAAAGTTGGTGTCAAATGATAGTTTATCAAAATCTAAGATAGGAATGTGAAATCGGTTTTCCTCTAAAATTAACCAATTAGGTTTTACAGCTTGTCAAAGTTGCAAAAAGTCAATTTTCAACTGTCAATATTTCCAAAACAGTTGAACTTAGGTATAGGGTATATTACATGAAATCTGCTCAGAATTTTATGTAGAATCCAAAAATACATTAATATATGGGGTGTTCTATTTAAAATAACCGAGTTGGTATCAACTTCCGGTATGACCGGAAATGCCGCCATCTTGAAAATATTTTACCTGGATGTCCCCCATCGACATTGCTATGTTGCCAAATTTTCAAATTTTTACCTTTCACAGTTTTCCCATAAGCAATCGATGTCATTCCCGGAGGACCACCCGGTATAGTACAGTTTACGTACGAGTTTTATAGCAAAAAAAAAAAAAATACGGGGGACCCCTATCTGGAAAGCAAAACCCCCTGGGGCCTCTAAATATTATTTTTTTTGGCCGATTCGGAATATAGGTGAAAGGGATCCAGAAAAGTTGATATTCCAAGTTTCAGCCCTCTCCCACCTTTCGGAGACGTTTTAGCCCCTCTTCACCCAATTTTGGAAAAGGGCGTGCAATGGTGCATACGCGCCCTGCATTTATTTTTCCGAATTTTGAAAAATAAAAAACACCGCCGAATAGAGGAGCCAAAAATACGTCGAAAATGTCTCTTGGTGTTTTTTGCTCCGACGCTTCCTAAACCCGGAAAAAAATAAAAAAGATTTTGATCTTGGAAAATTTTGGGGACCCGACACGGCGCCACTTTTTCGCTTATAACTTTGGTGATTTTCAACAGATTGTCTCGAATCAGGTTTTCTTCGAAAGAGCAATAAATTACCTATAAAATTGTTTTTTGATATTCTAGGTTGTTTCTCTTTTCGAGATATGAGCCGTCAAAGATGAAATTTTTCTGATAATGTATTGAAAGTTTTGAAGTAGATTTTCTCAAAAACGGTTCCCCGTGGAGGGATAACTCTAATAAGCTTTTTTGTAGTTCTGAATGAGATCTAGAAGTTTTCTATGTAAAACTTTTCTCCCAGGCTTTTCGTTTTCCAAATAGAATGCTTTGAAATTTAAAAAACATAAAAATAAAAGCTCTTTTGAATTTTTTTTGTCATGGCGGTCTGTAGGGGATTTCCAAATATTTCCCAAATGGGTTATTATAATAAAAGTAACGTTCTACTGTAAATTCTTATCAAAATTTGTGAAAATGGCCGCATCTCCGCTTGCCCCCACCATTAGAAGTCCCAAAAATACCGTTAAAAGGGCAAAATTTCTCCTCAAGACAAAATTCTGGCTACTCTGCCGAAGCCCGAGCTACCCGAAAATGCACGTATTTTAATATTATGCAGAGACGATCAATGATCCAGTGTGGCAACCCTGCAGTGAAATTGTAACCTGTCAACTAGTCCCATTTGAGTCTGTGTGTCTAGTAGTCTAATCCTGTCTGAATAAATAATTCTACTTTTGAAAATTTTTGGAGCCCGAGCCCCCATAGTAATTTTAAAATTCCGGCGCCTATGACAGTGGCGCAGCCAGACATTTTGTCTGAGGGGGGACCATGCAGAATATAGTCAGACTCACAGTCTACTTCATTCTTTTTTCTATTTTTCTCTAAGGCCTGAAGCCTTGGAGGGGCTGTGCCCCCTGTCCCTTGGTTGCACCCAGATATGGTATACCTACCTACTATTTTCGGAATATCCATATTATGACTTATTTTGTCTCTTCCAAGTAAGAATTTCGCCTCAAAACACTTCAGAATCTTGAATTTTTACTAGTAGGCCAGTCATTTGAATGAAAAAAAGACCCGCAGCTTGAAAGAAGTAGGGTAGTCGCGATTTTGACATATGCTGTTCAGATTGAAGCCCTAAACAAAAATTTGAGTTTGCGACCTTGGGCGGGGCCGGCCTCCTCCGCCATCTTGGATTTAGTGTGCACAAAAATGGTTTTTCTAATATAACTCATGAACAGCCAATTTTACGAGAAAAGTGTAAATACCAAAAATAAATAAAATTCAATTTTATACAATTTTTGTATAGAACTTTTTTTGTAGCTGTTATCTGTATTGAGCTATAGCTGAAAAAGTCCAGGGTAAAAGAAAAACATTGCAATTTTTTAAAGTTTCGCAATTTTTTGAATTGTTATTTATGAGTACAAAAATGTCATTAAGCTACTATATTTTCATTATATTATATAAATTTGGATTTATTCAAATATATGATATGCAATTAATCTACAGGGTGACAATTTAAAAACTTACAATTGAATATCTGAGGAACCAAAAAATTTACAATCACTGTATATTTAGTCATATATTATATAAGCCATACATAAATAAATTATATCAAGTAAATTTCATTGTTATTCAATCGTAATTATTTAAAAAACAGAACAAATATAGTAAAAATGCGAATTGAAAAAATATATTTCACTTTCTGTAGTTGTAGCTCATTCCAGATAACAGCTACAAAAAAAAGTTGTAGATAAAAATTGTAGAAAATTTAATTTTCTCCATTTTTGTTCCGTACATTTTTTCTCTAAAGTTGACCGTTCAGCAGTTATATTAGAAAATCCATTTTTGTGCACGCTAAATCCAAGATGGCGGAGGAAGCCAGCCCCCCCCAAGGTCGAAAACTCAAATTTTTGTTTAGGGCTTCAATCTGAACAACATACGTCAAAATCGCAACTACCTCACCTTTTGCAAACTGAATCCCCCTTATGACTGGACTATAGTTGGAGTTGTATTACCTATCTTCAGTCATAAATTGTTTGAAAATCTTTTGACTCAATACTGTCTTTTAATACTTCCCAGTAAGTATAAGGATTAGAATTTTCAGAGTTTCTGGAATTCCAAGGATTTTGCCTCAAAAATTTTTAGGATCTTACTTAAAGTCTTGCAGCTCTGACATTTTCTGATTTGATTTTTTATGGTTGTCAGCATGAAATGTCGAGTCTAGAGTCTTCAGAGTCTTATGAATCTTGAATTAGTATTGCCAGTCTTTGGAGTTTCCATCTTGAACTACCGATTTCGAATCTTCAGAATGGTAACTTGATTCTCCATTACTTGAAGTCTTACAACCCATTTTCATTTATTAGTACTGAAAGTATTGAGTCTTGTTCTCAACATAACATCTCAATATTCAGAATTTCCAGGGTCTCTTTGACGTGGAATTGATTGTTGAGCCAATAATTTTTATTCAAAGGTACCTACTTAGAAACTTGATTCTTGATTGCTTTAATTCGCTTCAAAATCTTTTGACTTAATCTATCTATACAGGGTGTCCCAGAATATGTGGGCAATCTCTCGGATTCAGATAGAACACAAAAAAATAACATGACAACTTCCTATAAAAAAAAAAATTCCTACGACCCCCCCTACGAAGTTACGTGCCACTAAAAGACGCCTCTGAAAATCGGTTTTTTGTTGGTAACTTCCAAAATACTTCGTGTAATTTTTTTCCTTTGAATATGATGGATACTAAATAAGACCCCTTAAAATGGACCCTTTCAAACACACTTGGCCAATCTAGTTTGCCAGGGACGGACTAGCTTTAACACAATAATGCTAATTTTTTTACACCCTGTATAATAGAGGCATAGCAATAATATTTTTAGATAGTTTCAACCTTGAACTAGAAAAAACGTACCCTTATTCGATGTCAAAAAAATGAGCTGGTTTCGAGAAAAATCTGTATTTGTGTATTAATGGTTTTTTATTAAATAATTTTTGATGTCGACTTAACATGAGATCCTTCTAATCTTATGCATTCCATAACTATTTCAATGAAAGATTGTTCGACTCTCAACAATGCTTCAATATTAACCCTTATTTGGGGACAGTGAAAATTAATCCTTTCTAGTAATATTTCCTCAGTGTCATTATTGCATTAAAGCTAGTCCGTCCCTGGCAAACTAGATTGGACAAGTGTGTTTGAGAGGGTCCATTTTAAGGTGTCTTATCTAGTATCCATCATATTGAAAGGAAAAAAAATTACACGAAGTATTTTGAAAATTATCAATAAAAAAACAATTTCCAGAGGCGTCCTTTAGGGGCACGTAACTTCGTAGGGGGGGCCGTAGGAATTTTTTTTTATAGGAAGTTGTCATGTTATTTTTTTGTGTTATATCTGAATCCGAGAGATTGCCCACATATTCTGGGACACCCTGTATATATAAAACACAGTTGGATTGGTTCCACTACTTATAACTCGAGAACGGCTGGACTGATTTTTATACTTTTTCCTTTATTGGATTTGTCTTTGTCCCGAATAACATAATAAATCGAAAAAATCCAAAAAAAAAAACAAAAAACAAAATTACTTATTTATGAAAAAAATTCACTAAGCCCGCATACGGCGCCATCTCGTATAACCGATACCAAGTTTACCGCCACATTTTCATTGCAAACCATTTTGTATACGGCGACATCTCTGATACCTAGAACGAAGCTCGCCGTTACGAGGTAATTTCATTGCAGATACAGTGGAACAATGCTGCTCAGGAACTGAAACTATTCCGAACAGAACTATTCCACTATTCCGATCAGATAGAGTGGTGCAGAAAGAGTAGATCAGATGGAGTAGTGCAGTGCATGGCAGATGGAGTTAAATAGGGCTGCGCTGAACAGAGGCTACTCTGAAAAGAACTATTCCGGACAGATATAGTAGTGCAGTAAGAGCAGTGTTCGAAACGGTTTAAACTCTTCGGAGCAGCTCTGTTTTATTATTCTGTATGCGACGCTATCTATGATACCAGATTTTATTATATAGATTCATTTCCTCTTATCTTATTAAAAAACTAAATTTAATTCAGCCAATACGTTAACACAACATTTATTGGTTCTGAGGCGGTACGAAGTTTGCCGGGTCAGCTAGTTTTCGATAATAATTCACATAGTATGAAGACTCAGAGTCTTTGGAATTTTAACCAGTATTGAATCTTTGAAATTTCTAGAATCTGATATTCCAAAATAGGAAAACTTTGTCTCTTGCGAGTGTCAGAATATTTACTTTTGAACCAATAATTTTGATTTAAAGGTCCTTAATTTTGACTGAATAGAATCTTGCAGCACTGTCTTCACTTAACAAGTTGGTCCAAAATCTTCTGACTTGATCTTTCCTAAATATTCACTATGAAATCTCAAGTTTCCAAAGTCTTTCGAATCTTGACTCAGAATTTTCAGGATTAGTAAGCCGTCTCGCCATCACAAGAAGAAAAGGCAATACAAAATTTATGTAGGAAGTATGCAGACTTTTTCCATTATCCAGACATGTCCCTGACCTTCACAAACCAGATCAAACACCATATTGAAACAAAAGATTCCAGTGTACACCAAGTCATATAGATATCCACATCCATAAAGAGGAAGTGAAAAACCAGATACCTTCCATGTTGGATCAAGGAATTGACCTTTTCAATTTAAAGCCCTCTCTCTCTGGCGTCAAACTGTCAGACGCCAAAAGAGTATGAAAACAACGGTTGACAGCCGCTGACAGTGGTTTGTTGACAAGACTTTTGTACATGTGGAAACTGGAAACTATTATTTCTTCGGGTTTTTCAAAGTTTTTTCCTAACAATAGTGATTGTGTAGTGTGCCTTTTTGTAAAAATAATTCCTATTTACCGGCGGACGTGTCTTTCCATAAGTTTCCATCAAATCCTACATTTGTCAAATTTTGGATACATAAAATCAAAAAGAATACTCCCAAAAAAAAGGGAAATCCACGGCCCATCAAGTATACAAAGTAATCCACGTTCAAGTTTAGTTTGCGGGAGCTGTTTGCTTCCAAAATAATCCACCGCTTTCTCCAAAGCGAAGTTCTGCAAATGAAGTAGTGACTTTTCCTACATTTTCTTTCAAAACACCCCAATACACACTGGCATTGACAAGCAAGCAAATGTTGGCGGGAAAATGATTGTTTTCATACTTTATTGTCCATCTCTTTTAATTGAAAACGTCAATTATCAGACCGTGCCAGTCACCTTGGTTTTCCCCGATATGGATAATTCCAAAAAAACCCAGACGCCGAGACGCCTCCGTAAAAATAAAATGGCGTTTAGTAGTGGAAAGTAAACGAGAAAACTATCGACGATAAATACCTAATTCCGAACATAACAGAAATCTTGGACAAACTTAGTAAATGCCAGCACTTCACGAACTTGGATCTGGCAAGGGGTTTTCACTAAATTGCAGATATATGTAAAACTGCTTTCAATGTCGAAAATGGTCATTACGAGTATGTCCGAATGCCGTTTGGCCTAAAGAACGCTCCAGCTACGTTCTAGACTCTAGAGGGTAGCGGATAACGTAGAATAAGGTCTAATTTACATTGTGTTCTCGTAATAAATATTAATTTTTATTGAAGTAGTTTTTGAAAACACCCTTTTCAAGGAAAAACCCGAGGAAAAACCCTTAATTTGCATCAATACAGTTTTTATGTAGAGAGAACTTGCAAGTATTACCATCTTTTCCAGGGCATCACATTGAAAATGAACGAAGATGGTAAATGTATAGTAGCCAGAATAATGCACGGTGGTATGATCCATAGACAAGCAACCCTGCATGTCGGCGATGAAATTAGGGAAATCAATGGAATACCTGTGGCCAATCAATCTGTAGGAGCTTTGCAAAAAATACTCGTAAGTTTTTCAGTTAATGAGAAATTTTTTTGGGTAAATGTGTAATATTTCAGAGGGAAGCACGAGGTTCAGTCACTTTCAAAATAGTTCCATCTTACCGAAGTGCCCCACCACCTTGCGAGGTAAGTTTCTATATTTGTATTTCATCCATCATCTAAATGTTTCATCATACTTTTTATTTGCTTTATTTTTTCTTTTAGCACATCTCATCAAACCAGTAAACATTTTTGTTTTAAATATTATTGGAAAAATGTTTTATTATTGGCTTATTTTTAGTTTTAATCACTGTTTCGTTTTGTTAATTGAACATGAAATTTTTATGGAAAAATCGTGCCTGATGCTTTGCAAAGTGGAACAATCCACCATAATTATGTCAAAAGCATTTGATTGTGTGAAAAAGAGGAAAAATGTGTATAATAAGTAACAGGATGTTATTGAAATTGATCCAATATGGCCCAAGATTCGGAGATCCAAAATATTGACCAATCCAATACAGCACTTTCATAATTATCCCAAAATTGTACATCACATTTTTATTATATTTTTAGTAGTTGTTTTTAGATTATCAAAATTATTAATTTTTTCTTTTTTATTTTTCATTATAGTTGTTCAGGATTAAACCTCTGCCCGTACTTGTAAGTACTCTAGACAATTAAAATTTTTACTGGTACCTCTGGTGTGATGTGCTTTTTGTTTGTAGTCGAATAGAAAATTCAATTTATTCCATTCCCAGACCTCTTAAGTGTAGTATAATGGCCATTTCCGTCGTAGAAGGCAAACATTCCGAAATCCATATCCGTTGGCACGTATTGCAATTTCCAATATACAATCGGCGGTCGATTTAAAAATCTACTTTCGTATGAAAAACTCTAATGTAGTCGTGGGCGTTCTACTACGGGGAAATTTTTATTTTACTAACGAAAATAGGTTTTGTGTGATTTTCAAATTAAAAATCAACACAAAGGAATTTGTAGGGTCCAGACAGTTGAATTTTTGTAAATATTATCAGACCTGAGAGTTATCGCTGATTATAGCAATTATCGGTGAACCGTCGTTGACATTGACTTTCCATAGGTGCAGGTTCCTCATATAATTTAATTTCAACTTGCAACTGAATGTTATTTAAACGTGACGTGATCAATGATGACCCATGAACCTTTTTTGGAAGACGATTGGGTTTAATTAACCGGAATGAGATGCCGTTTTATCCTAGATACGACAATATTTGAAATTGTAGCGGGTATCGAAGGGAACTCCAACACTATGCACTACACATGTTTTTCAATATTTGAGCTTCTCGAACGATTCTTGTTGTACCAAATCCCACGACCACGAAACATTCTTCCTTATCAAGTTACTTAGCGGTCTAGAGACATTGGCAAAGTTTGAAATGAATCTACGGAACCATGAACAAGTCCGAAGAAAACTGAGAACTTGTTTGGGTGCGGCAAGATAGGTGATAGCGGCAACCTTTTCCGGATCGGCCTTGATACCATCTCGTCCAATAAGACGACCAACATATTTAACTTCTGAAGTACAGAAAGTGCATTTTTTCTTGTTCACCTTCAACTTGTAAATGCGTAGACGGTTGAAAACATCACTTAAGTCTTTGATGTGTTGTTCAAAAGTCATGGATAAAATTAATAAGTCATCAAGGTATCCTAACATCTGGATATGCGGCATACCTGAACAAAAACGGTTTATTAGCTTTTGAAACGTTGCTGGAGCTGTGGATAGACCAAAAGGCATCATCTTATATTGATAAAGTCCAAATGGCGTGACAAAGGCGGTTTTATCACGATCCTCTTCTCTGACAGGTACTTTATAATAACCACTCTCTAGTTCTAAGGTGGTTATGTAGTTAGCTTTTCCAGTTGAATGGATAAGGTCATCTATACGAGGCAACGGGTAACGAAAGCCAAAAGCATGACCTAGCGCATCTAAAACTTCAGTCCATAAAATGTTTTGCTTTTTGGTGCCTTGCCACCATACTGCAGCAGCGCCATCTAGTAGCATGGGTAAACCTTTTACAGCATTATCGTCACTGATGTTCAGACAGTGTTTGTAAATAGTGATGGCATCAATAAATGCTTCAGCATCTTCGTCTGGCTTTCCAGAAAACCTTGAGCCGCATTTAGAAAAATTGGCAGCTGTACTTGGGTTCGAAGTAGATTGTGGCGTATTCTGAAACATATCTCCCATACCAGCGAGTAATTTTTGTAATTGTTCATTCGTCAGAACAACGGGGTCACCCATTTTGTCTTGATTTCTTTGGGACAATCGAAGATTATAAGGCATATACAGGAAAATCCAGCTTGAAGTAAGCTAAATGATGGAAATGTAGTGTTGAGAAACAGCAAACTCGGGTAAATCCTGACAAACAGGCGACTGTAATGTAGGAACCCTTTGAACAAACTTGGACGGACACACAGGAAACTGTAATGTGGGTACAAAATGGAGGACAAACTTGGACACACAGGAAACTGTGATGTCAGTACAAAAATGAAGGACAAACTTGAACACACAGGAAACTGTAATGTCGGTTTGTGTGGAATATTCCAGAAGTTGTGGGTACAATATCCGAATGTGGCAAAACTTACACAATTCAGTCAATTAATGCACATTTACATACTGATAATGTTTCGCGTTCTATAGTTCATTGATCTACAGTCACAAAATTAGTCCAGAAAGTCATTGGGGTGGTAGTTCACTACAAAACCCCAGGCCTCACGTTGGGCGCCAAATATGTAGCAGGTATCGAAGGGAACTCCAACATTATGCACTACACATGTTTTTTCAATGTTTTTATTTAACAATTTAACTGGGAAAAAATACAGAGTCAGCAAAATAATAGCAATAATTACTGATAATTGATAATGAACTTGACAACTTGATCGGGGAAACTGACTGACTGATTGACTGATTTCTTTCTCGCAAAATCCTTTGGATTGCTGAAAACAATGATTTGTGTCTTACAAAGGTAATTCCAAGCATCACAAATCCAAAAATTGATCAAATAAGGCCCAAATCTTTTTTTAGGTGGAGGAGAAAAATACTTAGGGCCGGTATTATAATGTCCGGTTGACCTGAGGTTGACCGTACCTTTAGACACAGTCAACCTTAGGTTGAAACTCAACTTTCAGTCAACCGGACATTATAATACCGGACCTCAATCGCGTACAGATTTGCCTCTCATGAACCATTGGCTCAATATGTATATGAATATTTACGAACCATTTGCTTTTAGTACACTTCCAGATCTTGCATTGGATTCTTTTAAATGGGTCTCACACGAGGCTTAGATAGGTACTGACGTCGGGTTGCTAATAGAATTTTCTACAGATAGTTTTAGGTTTTTCCTTTCGGTTTAATCATCTTGGAGAGGTATTACAAGATCTTTTCAGTTACAATGTTTTTGTACTTGCTTCGGCTTTCAAAAATACGAATTTGGTAAATGCATCTACCGCAACTATCAAATATGCATTTTTCCTAAAGCTTGTAACAAACGGTCCAATGTGATCGATGTGTATAGTGTGTCCATAGGCACACTTAATTTTTCAATTGCATTTAGACTTCCAGGCTGTTTACCGGTTCTACACTAGGACGTAAACCGATATTAGATACTTCATGTCCTAAATATTCTATGTTCCCTTGAAGAAAATAGCACTTATTCAGCCTAAGTGTGCCATAACTGTTTCGAATCGCAATGAGCCCAAGACTTGGTTTATTGTTCTCTGAAAACCGCAGGAGCATTTACAAGTCCAAATGGGATTCGCAAAAACTCGTAGTGTCCATCTGGTGTTACAAACGCAGTCTTCGGAATTGACTCTGCATTCAATGGGATCTGATGGTATCAAGATGCTAGGTCCAAGGTCGTAAAATAGATGTTCTCTTGAAGAAAATAGCACTTATTTAGCCTAAGTGTGCTATAACTGTTTCGAAGCGCAATGAGCCCAAGACTTGGTTTATTGTTCTCTGAAAAGCCGCAGGAGCATTTACAAATCCAAATGGCATTCGCAGGAACTCGTAGTGTCCATCTGGCGTCACAAACGCAGTCTTCGGAATTGACTCTGCATTCAATGGGATCTGATGGTATCAAGATGCTAGGTCTAGGGTCGTGAAATAGATGTAACCTTTGAGAGAGTCCAGAAGATCATCGATTCTTGGTAATGGGTATTTATCTTTCAGCGTTTAACGATGTAAGGGTCTATAATCTATTCACATGCGCGGCGCACCATTCTTCTTTTTCACCAGTAGGACGGGGCTTAATATCATTTTTCATGAGGTCGTGAATTATTCCTTTTACAACTTCCCTCTCAAAATATGCCATGCGATAAGGGCGATATGTAATAGGAATATCATCAGTTAGCGATATCGCCATTACAGTTCTGATGTTTAAGCCGGGTATACATGAAAAAATACTCAGTAGTATTGTATACTTTTTTGTACTTTTGCAAATAAACCACTTTTTTTTTTCTTTTCCCCGAGATAAAGATGTTGTCGCGTTGGGCAACCAATAAAAACGCAGAAAGTTTTGACAGATTATTTCTTGCGTGCCCATCTCTGTGCGTGCCCTTGCCTTGTCTACTCACCACTCACCAAGAGCTTTGCTCCAACACAAAATCGTTCAATGTACCGTCACGAGTCTGCGCAAAGCCCAAAATTTGTGCGAAGAATCCATAATTCGTATAATGTGGTTTCAAAACGTTCATGTGACGGTTTTTAGCTTGTTGGAACAGACCTTTTGTTGTTACTGAAGCTGTAGGATCAATAGATCTGTTCTCAAAGAAATCACAAACCAGTTTTAAGCGAATTTCATTGGTTGAAAATAGTCAGAAAAATCAGGAGGATCTGCTATGAGCTGCTATTTATGAGCTTATTATATGGAAGTTATGAGACAAATGGACAGCCTAATTGTCACCCTCTCGACCCAAATTATTTGCACACTCGCACCAAATAAAAGAAAAATGACAAATTTTTGGTTTCAAATACCTAGGATAGGCCTTTTCTAGTGGGTCGTACCAAGAGATCATTGACGCTCTCTCTATCAACTTTTGTTCAGGAATACGACTCTTATCAAACCCCTTCCCACTTATCTCGTATCTTCTACTCCCTGCCTGTCAAGAATAGAGGCCAAGGAGTGAGCATCCTCCACCCTGGGTCCATATTCTTGAAACAAGGAAATAGTGGTTCCGTCTTTCTCAATGATATGCCAATGGCAATATAAGCAACAAAGATGGAACAGCAGTCTGGGAACGCTGTTCCCCTTGGGATTGCCGCAAGTGATGCTTACTTCATTAGACTACTGAAGTCTCTGCTATCCTCGTGGCAAGACACATTCATCGCGATATTAGGGAGTTTTCGTTTCTTACAAAATGCGATTTGCAGAGTTCGTTTTACAGAGGAAAGTCGCCAAATTTCACTTACTTTACTAACCACCTCAGCAAAATACAAATTCTTGAAATTTTATGTGGAATTCTATTTGAAATTCTGAGTTTTTCTACAAATCTCAATATATGATTTTTTTTAGAAGCGAAAATTGACTTTACACTCGTTTTCTGACCACACATCTACCCTAAAGATCGCCTCCGTATTTTTTGTTGTTTCCAACACTTCCAACAAGATTGTCTCTTCAAAATCAGAATGTGAATCATCCCTGGAGTCTAATAAAATCAACTCGTCCATCATTTTGTAGCAAAATGTACAGAGAAACCGGAGTAAAGTAAATCTATATGATAACCAAACAAAAACAAGAAATACAAAAACCAAATTAGAACAAGGCTGGGGGCTACGCTGTCAATTCTATTTTAACTTTTTGTTGGGGTTAGAGTTATAGTTTACGGGAGGTTTACGGTAACGGTAACCGGGTGGCGTAATTCCGAACCCCCGTTGATTTCAGAGGAACATTGTTCTGAAATAAACTTGGGTTTGTTATTTAATAATGACGTTTATCGTCTTCCGAACCCCAGCGCGATGCAGACAAGATGCGTTCGGTATTGGGTGGGGGTTTGGAAGACTAGAGTCTGGGGAGCAGACAGACGGAGCTTTGAAAGATGCCACCAAGATTGCTTGTTAATATTCGATAATTTGAATAAAAAGAATTAGGTATATATAGTGCGGGAAACCAAGCTCGGATAAAACGATCATATATTAAAATACAAGTTTAAATATGTATTTATTAATGTTGTTTATTATCGCCTATGTTACTAGAATAGGATTATTCCTGAAATAATCTGTGAGTCGGGATTATTTCTGAGATCATCACAGGAAATACAGGAATAATTCTGAGTTATGAAAAAAAAACTTGTATCTAAATTTTGAGCCTTCAAAGCTTCCGTACTTTCTCTAGAGTTTCTATGCATCAAAATTACGTATTTTTGATGAAATTGCTAGATACAAAAGATTAGGAACAGTAGGTAACGGTATATTTCATACAAAAGGTTCAATGGTTAAAAATTGAAAGCAAATATCAAAATTGAATAGGTTATAGAATATGCCCAGGCATATGTATGTATATTTTCATTATAATGCAAAATTGTTGCATGCAACACTCATTTTGTCCACTTTTAAATAGTATTTTGTCCAAAAATTATTGAAATATATACCTTACCAAACCTTACTTATAAGAAAATCGTGTATAAATACGAGATTTTGCGAAAAATATACCTACCTAGTGTGGAAAATATCCTACATGTTATGGTACCAAAGTTTGATGGTACGTTCGTAGAAAAAAAATTAATTTAATAACTTTATCTGAATTAACCGTTTTTTATTTATTAACCTATAATCACATAATTGACCTGAATTTAGAAAAAAAAAATCTTCTCTTCTCTCGTACCTATGACTAAATGATAATAAAATGTGAATAAAATACGTTCGGCGGACTAGAACTTCGGGCGCCCTTTTCTTCGACCGCTTCGCTACACGCTGATGTTCGGGAAAGTTCGGAGCTCCGCCTGTCTGTTCCCCAGACTCTTGTGTTTGCAAGACACGAAGCGCTGCGCGCTGTACGCCTTTTCGAATCTCAATTCAGTACGAAGTAAACGTAAGATAAACTATTGTTTTCCTTTGAAACAAAAGGGATTGCGCTCTGTAATCTGTAATGCTCTGAATCACACGTGGATTTGGAGTAAGTATTTTTTGCATTTGCGTTGTACAAATCAGAGTTGAGTATGGAATATTTAACGTTATATGGCGCTCTAGTACTGCACTGTGGTTCGGAATTACGCAACCGGGTGTCGTTTTCTTGCTTCGAAAACTGTTTTTTTTTTTTTTAATCGGTCAAATAGCGGCTATGGCTACGTATTCGTTAACCGTAGCGTTAAAGTTTTCAGGAACAACGAAAACTCCCTATTGCGTCATTGACTCCCCTGAGATCTGCTCGTAGTGCTCTCGGAATGGCCATATAGGATGTAGTGTCAAAGGCACCACCGATGTCTAGGAAGGCGCATAATGCGCGAGTTTCATGTATCATGCTGTTCATTTTAAAACAGAGCTGTCTCAGTGGACCTGCCTGCTCTGGTAAGCGTGCTGACTTGCTTTCAAAATCCACCTTTCCAAGGTTGTGGATCTGAAATCATTATCCACTGCCTTTCCCATCGTCTGTCGTTTATTGGTCTGAAGGATTTGGGGGGAGAAGGAATCCTTCTTGCCTGCTTGAATAAACATCGGTGGCGTGCCAGGTTTGCATTCAACCCATGGCATCTCAGTTGAGCATCTCTTCGAATTTGTGAGCAGTTAGAGTCAAATGCCTCTATTACTGCCTAGTTGACGTGTTCTACTTTCTCTTCCAGTTCTAGGTGATGTCCTTTTTTCTCGGGTTGATTGCTTTTAGATTTTTTTTCCAGATTGACTCTGTAACATTCCCAGTTTGCTCTCATGGAATTTCTCTTGTAGCTGAACTCTGTGATCTTGTGATCAGATACCTCTTTTCCTTTAGAGGAATTGGTGATCCTGGAGATTGAGGTAGACTCTTGTTAAGGAGCTGATGGAACTAATTCAAAATAACCCAAAGTTGTAGTGCATGGAGTGGGTCTACGCCATAATTCGACTTGGTGTCTATGCCTAAAGTAAACAGCTGTTCATGTGATTGTTCCTTCCACGTTTCTATCTTGAGGTCGGTCTCTTCAAGAGAATTGAAGAGTTTTCCAGCTTCTTGCCCTTTGCTATTGGGAAGAAAGACAGTTATGGTGTGTACTTTTGGGATGTTTTCTCTCGTGCACACTGTTACCGTTTCAATCAGCTAACTGCCTGCGCATTCTCGCAGTCCAATCATTTACAGACCTGCCCTAAAATTTATTTCCTACGAACTTTAGGTTACCTCGACCAGAGCGCTCTCTAGGTTCGTTGGCTGTTCCAATGGTAAGCGTGACTTCTCCCAGTACAATTCCTATTCGAACGCTTGCGGCGAGTTTAAAGGGTAAACTGGTTGTTACCGCCCGCCACCTGGATATGACGGGCGAGTAAAGGGAGACTTTGTTTTAGGACTAATAAAGGCCTTTTCTCGTACTGCGGTAGCGTGCCACCAGGGACTATGATTAAAGTCCCACTGAAATTATCGATAAATCGCAACAGGTTAATTTTATGTAACTGATTCGGTTGCCCTTATTAGTCCGGGTTCTTGCTACCTGAGCTGTACGTAGTTGGATTCTAACTGTTTTGAGAGGAATCAGTTGTCAGAATAAATCAAAGAAACCTTCTCTTACGATAAAGATTCCTATGGAATTTATTATAGATGATATAGGTAACAACGAAAGACAATAGAAAATCAGTAAAACGATTGAAATAATAGAATGGGTACAATAACAGAATAGGCTTATATATTATATAAGAGTAAGGTAGATGGGATTCAACAGTGAACAATTCACTTGAACGGTTTATACAATACGGATAGGAAAAGTACCGAAAATGCAGTCAAAATGACTGAAAATCGTGAGCAAATAAGTTGGTAATTGACAATGCGTGGAAATCAGATAGAAAAATAGTTTGACGATTTGAAAATAAAGAGAAAAAACATACAGTAAATAAGATAGTAAAATGACAATGGGAAATATGTGGAAACTGAAACCTCACCTGCTTTGTAACTATAACGAATGACCTTACACTGTAAGCACCAGAATTTGTGACCAGAACTGAATGAATCCAGAGCTACGTGAGGCGTCTTTCATTTAGCGAATTTGAATGATGCTTTTAGTTTATCAGTTACAAGTCAGGCGACGTTTTCCAAGGACCCAGGGGTTAAGAGTCGTGGTTGTAAGACATAATCATCGCAGCGACTGATAACCCTTGGCTCTTGGTACCGTTTCGTCAGAAATTTGGCAATTTAATCTAACTGGTAAAAGAAACCAATTAATTGCAAAAAGAAAGAAAAAGGACTTTTTGGCCGTTTTAGATGTTATTATGTAGTCATGGGTTATTCTTTACTAAGCAATCACTTTTCAACCTTGAATGCCTGAAGAAAGCTTTTATTAAATAAAAAAATGATTGCAGCCTGAAAATCTATATATACAAACTATTTCTTCTTCAGATATTTGTGAGGGCGCAGTTCGATTACGAACCATTGGACGACGACCTGATTCCGTGCGCTCAAGCGGGCATAGCGTTCAAAACTGGTGATATTCTACAAGTAAGTTGTTGATCCTTTTTCAAACCAAAATTCCTAGAGTGATTATTCCAGATTATAAGCAAAGACGATCACCACTGGTGGCAGGCCCGGAAAGATCAAGCCGGCTCTGCCGGCCTGATCCCGTCGCCCGAACTACAAGAATGGAGAGCCGCTTGCGCGGCTATGGAAAAATCCAAACAGGAACAAGGTACTTTATATTTTTATTCAATTAATTTCAATGTAAATATTTTTGGAAAAATTAAACTCGGCATTTATATGTGTATATCAACACTGATTGTAATTTAAAGTAACGATCCATAAACATTTTCGCAACATTAGGAAATTATTGTTACATTATTTCCACTCCGAGTTTAATTTCCTGTATTGATTATACACGATCCCCGAGCAAAAAATATTTAAAATTTTCCTGCACTATATTGATGTTTTCTCTTTTTTTTTTCTGCCAATTTGTGTTTTCTATTGACACTGCATGGAAATACAATGATAATTGTCTTCACTGGGCATGTAATTAATAATGAATAATAAAGTTGAAGTATTTTTATTTACAATTTTTTTTTTTGAAATTTTTATCGTCTGTTATATAATTTATAGTGTTAATTTTAGTGGCATGCAAACATATTAGTTAAAAATTGATAAAAAAAAAGTCTGTCCTCGACTGGGATTTGAACCCAGGACCCCTGAATTTCCAGTTCAACGCTCTAACCAACTAAGCTACCAAGACTAACAAGTTGGTTAGAGCGTTGCACTAGAAATGTAGGGGTCCTGGGTTCAAATCCCAGTCGAGGCAAGAATTTTTTTTATCAATTTTTAATTAATATGCCACTAAAATTAACCCTCTAGTATTTTTATTTATAATTATACTGTTGTTTGTACATAATTTTCCTTGTTGTGATAAGTTTTTTGTTGTATTGGCTAGATTTCGAAAAAGGATGTACGTCACATGCTAACGGTTGTGACGGGTCAACAGGTATCTATAGTTTACTTGTAGATGGAAGCAACGTGCATTAAACTTATTTGCTTCAAATGTCTTTTGCTACTATTAAGCTTGAACATAAAACTTGATTGGTTGTAAAATGTCTATTTACGTATTGAAGCCTTTCAAAGTTAATTGAAAAATGGTTTAGTGATTGAATTATGTATACGGTTTATTGAAATAAAGCTATTTGAAGGAAATTAGTTATTAATTTATTGACAGAATTAAATCAGCTTCAATTAAAAGGTTAATTTAATCGAATTTAAGGGTTATTACTCGGTTATTCCAGTGTCACAATCTTATGGATAATTACTTTGATTCACTCCAGTAGAGAGAATCCTAGAGAATCGCTGTAGGTAGGTACTCTAAAGGTAAAACCATCTCAAAATGTTTTCGAGTGAATGGTAAATGTTGATGATCCTTATTGGAAGTTCCAGGATCCTGATGTCAGGATATTTTTGTTTATTCCCAGCACTCGTTTTTTTTTATATTATATATCAAATATCTGCTTCTAGCTAGATAGAGTAAATTCAATAGTTTTTTCAATGAATTTCCTCTTACCATTTTTCAACTTTTGTCTATTTCTGGCTCTTGAATTTTCATTGTGGAGAAATTTGAAAAAAGAAACATTGATGAGCTAGAAATGTACAAAAATTAAGTTGAAACAATAAGAAAATTTGAAACCCAGACATACAGTCTTTAAAACGTCGTTTTTAGGTCTGCATTACGTCTGAATGTCTGAATAACGGTTCGTATATTGAAAAGAGATTCAAAGATAATGTCTTAGTCTTGAAAACGTCTTTAGGCAGACGTCTGAAAAACGTTAGGTTATGATGTAACATACGTCTTCAAAATGTGAATGTCGAAATCACCTTTGAAAGCTTCTGAAAAATACTGTAAGCAATCAAAGGGACTTCAAACTTTCAGGAATTATTGAGTAGTGTCTTTTTATCAACCAGAACAAACCGCGAATGGATATCAAGCTCAGAAATGGAGTTATGAATTTTTTCTCATTTAAATGCAATTTTTTTTTAAATATTTCTATCAGACCACCCTTGGTAGCTTCTGAAAAATACTTCAAGCAATCAAAGGGACTTAAAACTTTCAGGATTTATTGATTAGTGTCTTTTTATCAACCAGAACAAACCGCGAATGGATATCATGCTCAGAAATGGAGTTATGAATTTTTTCTCATTTAAATGCAAAAAATCTTTAAATATTTCTATCAAACCACCTTTGGAAGCTTCTGAAAAATATTTCAAGCAATCAAAGGAACTTCAAACTTTCAGGATTTATTGAGTAGTGTCTTTTTATCAAACAGAACAAACCGCCAATGGATCTCAGGCTCAGAAATGGAATTATGAATTTTTTCTCATTTAAATGCAAAAAAATCTTTAAATATTTCTATCAAACCACCTTTGGAAGCTTCTGAAAAATACTTCAAGCAATCAAAGGGACTTAAAACTTTCAGAATTTATTGATTAGTGTCTTTTCATCAAACAGAACAAACCGCTAATGGATCTCAGGCTCAGAAATGGAATTATAAATTTTTTCTCATTTAAATGCAAAAAAATCTTTAAATATTTCTATCAAACCACCTTTGGAAGCTTCTGAAAAATACTTCAAGTAATCAAAGGGACTTAAAACTTTCAGAATTTATTGAGTAGTGTCTTTTCATCAAACAGAACAAACCGCCAATGGATCTCAGGCTCAGAAATGGAATTATGATTTTTTTCTCATTTAAATGCAAAAAAATCTTTAAATATTTATATCAAACCACCTTTGGAAGCTTCTGAAAAATACTTCAAGTAATCAAAGGGACTTCAAACTTTCAGGATTTATTGAGTAGTGTCTTTTCATTAACCAGAACAAATCGCGAATGGATATCAAGCTCAGAAATGGAGTTATGAATCTTTTCTTATTTAAATGCAAAAAATCTTTAAATATTTCTATCAATCCACCTTTGGAAGCTTCTGAAAAATACTTCAAGCAATCAAAGGGACTTAAAACTTTCAGAATTTATTGATTAGTGTCTTTTCATCAAACAGAACAAACCGCTAATGGATCTCAGGCTCAGAAATGGAATTATAGATTTTTTCTCATTTAAATGCAAAAAAATCTTTAAATATTTCTATCAAACCACCTTTGGAAGCTTCTGAAAAATACTTCAAGTAATCAAAGGGACTTAAAACTTTCAGAATTTATTGAGTAGTGTCTTTTCATCAAACAGAACAAACCGCCAATGGATCTCAGGCTCAGAAATGGAATTATGATTTTTTTCTCATTTAAATGCAAAAAAATCTTTAAATATTTATATCAAACCACCTTTGGAAGCTTCTGAAAAATACTTCAAGTAATCAAAGGGACTTCAAACTTTCAGGATTTATTGAGTAGTGTCTTTTCATTAACCAGAACAAATCGCGAATGGATATCAAGCTCAGAAATGGAGTTATGAATCTTTTCTTATTTAAATGCAAAAAATCTTTAAATATTTCTATCAATCCACCTTTGGAAGCTTCTGAAAAATACTTCAAGCAATCAAAGGGACTTAAAACTTTCAGAATTTATTGATTAGTGTCTTTTCATCAAACAGAACAAACCGCCAATGGATCTCAGGCTCAGAAATGGAATTATGATTTTTTTCTCATTTAAATGCAAAAAAATCTTTAAATATTTATATCAAACCACCTTTGGAAGCTTCTGAAAAATACTTCAAGTAATCAAAGGGACTTCAAACTTTCAGGATTTATTGAGTAGTGTCTTTTCATCAACCAGAACAAATCGCGAATGGATATCAAGCTCAGAAATGGAGTTATGAATCTTTTCTTATTTAAATGCAAAAAATCTTTAAATATTTCTATCAATCCACCTTTGGAAGCTTCTGAAAAATACTTCAAGCAATCAAAGGGACTTAAAACTTTCAGAATTTATTGATTAGTGTCTTTTCATCAAACAGAACAAACCGCTAATGGATCTCAGGCTCAGAAATGGAATTATAAATTTTTTCTCATTTAAATGCAAAAAAATCTTTAAATATTTCTATCAAACCACCTTTGGAAGCTTCTGAAAAATACTTCAAGTAATCAAAGGGACTTAAAACTTTCAGAATTTATTGAGTAGTGTCTTTTCATCAAACAGAACAAACCGCCAATGGATCTCAGGCTTAGAAATGGAATTATGATTTTTTTCTCATTTAAATGCAAAAAAATCTTTAAATATTTATATCAAACCACCTTTGGAAGCTTCTGAAAAATACTTCAAGTAATCAAAGGGACTTCAAACTTTCAGGATTTATTGAGTAGTGTCTTTTCATCAACCAGAACAAATCGCGAATGGATATCAAGCTCAGAAATGGAGTTATGAATCTTTTCTTATTTAAATGCAAAAAATCTTTAAATATTTCTATCAATCCACCTTTGGAAGCTTCTGAAAAATACTTCAAGAAATCGAAGGGACTTCAAACTTTCAGGATTTATTGAGGAGTGTCTTTTCATCAAACAGAACAAACCGCCAATGGATCTCAGGCTCAGAAATGGAATTATGATTTTTTTCTCATTTAAATGCAAAAAAATCTTTAAATATTTATATCAAACCACCTTTGGAAGCTTCTGAAAAATACTTCAAGTAATCAAAGGGACTTCAAACTTTCAGGATTTATTGAGGAGTGTCTTTTCATCAACCAGAACAAATCGCGAATGGATATCAAGCTCAGAAATGGAGTTATGAATCTTTTCTTATTTAAATGCAAAAAATCTTTAAATATTTCTATCAATCCACCTTTGGAAGCTTCTGAAAAATACTTCAAGAAATCGAAGGGACTTCAAACTTTCAGGATTTATTGAGGAGTGTCTTTTCATCAAACAGAACAAACCGCCAATGGATCTCAGGCTCAGAAATGGAATTATGAATTTTTTCTCATTTAAATGCAAAAAAATCTTTAAATATTTATATCAAACCACCTTTGGAAGCTTCTGAAAAATACTTCAAGCAATCAAAGGGGCTTCAAACTTTCAGGATTTATTGAGTAGTGTCTTTTTATCAACCAGAACAAACCGCGAATGGATATCAAGCTCAGAAATGGAAATATGATTTTTTTTTCTCACTTAGATGCAAAAAAATCATGTAAAATTTCATTAAATCATCATTGGAAATGTCTGAAAAATACTTCAAGCTATCAGAGAGACTTCAAATTTTCTGGATTTATTGAGTAGGGTCTTTTAGCATCCAAACAGTTCAAATCCAAATCAGAATTTCCAGGAACATTTTGGAACAATTTAGAATCTTTAGAAGAGTTTTTTTATTCCAGAAAATTAGGATTCAATTTAAAAGTGGAAACTTTCTAGAACTCATTTGAACCAATTCAGAACTTTAATAGGACATACTTAAAAATGTTAGAAATTACTGAAAAATTCCTGAAATGTTCCAGAACAACCAAGTTAGAACACTTTAGAATTTCAATAAGCTATTTAGAACGTTCTAAATACGTTCTAGCAGCATTTTGAAAGGCTTCAGGACAATCTAAAAACCTGATATTTATTTCAGAGAGTCTAGAGCCTGGAATAGACAAAAATTGAAAGTTATAAAATGAGTTATAATAAGGAAATATTAGTCTTGAAGACGTCCTTAGGCAGACGTCTGAAATTTAAAGAAAAAAAACATTCAAGAGCCGAGAATAGTTACAAATTGAGAAATAGAGAGTGGAAATAAATAATGATAAAAACTTGATAAACAAATAGAAAATAAACCCAAGTTAGATGCATTTTAAATAAGTTATTTTCTATTGGAACACCCTGTATATTGCTCTTGTCTTGTCATTTCTATTTGAGAGAGCAAAAACTTGAAATTGAGAAAACAATAAAAAAAGGAAAATTAGGAAAAATAGAATTATCTTGATTTGAAGAAAACGAACACTCAAAAGCCGGGGATAGACAGAAATTGAAACAGGAAAATTGAGAAATGATGGACAAAGGAAAATCTAGAGTTTTCAAAGCCCTTGAAGAACTAAATGACTGAGATCTTCATGGTTTCTCATGGCTCATGAATTAGCAGGTGACTAAATTTTTGAAGATTCCAAAAAGACCCAAAAATTAAAAGATTTCAAAGAAGGCACATAGAAAACTAGAAAATCTGGAGCAAAGAAATGACCATGAAAAGCAAGTAGTTGAAGAACCAGATTTATGGATAATTGATAATAAAATCCTCAAATTGCGGAAATTTGCTGTAAATTACGGTCCTCCAGAAGATTGTGGCTATAATTGATTTTCCAGACATACATGAACTTTGAACTTTAAGCTTTAACTAGATATTATACTCTTCCTATAATCGATAGGGTGTTAATTATTATTGCGGGCGTCAAAACATTATGGCAATGTTAATTACCAAAATCATATGCTCAAGGATATTATCCACCACTTACTGCAGTATTTTTCAGTAAACTTTGATAAAGTTTACATGCCAAGATTCAGAGTTTGATGACCAGAACGTATATAGAAGAAAATCGCTGGTGAAAAAAAATCTCAAATGAACCAGTTCCTATGTCAGAACTTAAAAAGAAAAATAGCGTGAATAAGGATTTTAGAAAAATAGAAGTGCATATTATAATAAACTGAGGAATTTCTAGGCTCAATTATTGCTATAAAAACCATCATAATGATCATTTTAGTCTCTCTGTTGAACAAACAAATCCACAAGATTGTGACATTCGAATAAACTAGTAAATTACCATCTCCCTCTCATCTCTGTGGCATGTTCTTAGCAGCTTTCTATCCTCTATATCTTAATTTTTTTATGCATATTTGTAAACCACGTGATATGCTGGTGAAAATAAAACATAACCAACTGCATGGCTAACATAATTCTATAGTATTTTTGAAATTATTTGGTTAAAATAATTCTATTTTTATTTCAGTCAATTGCTCAATATTCGGCAGAAAAAAGAAACAGTACAAGGACAAATATTTGGCCAAGCACAACGCAGTTTTCGACCAATTAGATTTAGTTACCTACGAAGAAGTTGTTAAGTTACCAAGTAAGATTTTTTTCAAGTTTTATAAATAATTGTATAACAACTTGTGCGGTTTTTCTATAGTGACTGATCCAGCATTTCAAAGAAAAACGCTGGTATTACTCGGAGCTCACGGGGTGGGACGCAGGCATATAAAGAATACCTTGATAGCGAGGCATCCCGATCAATACGCTTATCCGATTCCACGTAAGTGAATTTTAAATTCAAAGTAAATTATTTTAAGTTAAGTGACGCTAACAAGATTTGAGGTTTTTGCCTTGTATATAAGTACGATGAAAACTTTTGGTATTTAAATCAGTTAAGTTTAAGTTTGCACTATGCTTTTATAATGTGTTAGAGAAAAGTTTATTAATTACTTGGAAGTTTTGAAGCATTTCCATTTTGATGGTTGAATTATAATTAATTTTTTCTATTATTTGTTTTAATTAAGAACTTTTTATGCCAAATTTCATAATACGATTTTTTCTATAGATACAACGAGACAACCGAGAGCGGATGAAGAAAACGGTCGCAATTATTTCTTCGTTACCCACGACGAAATGATGACGGATATCGCCGCTAATGAATATTTGGAATATGGAACCCACGAAGATGCCATGTATGGAACAAAGGTAATTTTTAACAATACGAAATAGGCGAAAATCCAATATATTATCCAGACACGACAATCAGGAGTTATAAACAATCTGAATAGTTCTGGACCTGAACTAGCTTATCTTTTCGGTGCATACTTCCATTCTGTATACTCAGACAAAGCATTTCCGATCGTAACCTTCATATTCATGACTTTGAAATCCCCATCTCAGTTATTTACGAAGGACTGTGTAAGCTGCGAATCTTTCGTGGACCTGGCCCGGATGGCATCCCCCTCTGATGCTCAACAGGCCCCTCATTATTGTATATAGATGTCCTGAATGCTTTTATAGGATTTCCCGTCAATAGATAAAATAAATAAATAAATAAAAATAAATAAACATAATACAATTTATTGGTAACGAGATACCTATTGTATTTTTAGTTGGACACAATTAGGAAAATTCATCAAGAAGGAAAAATGGCAATCCTAGACGTGGAACCACAGGCCTTAAAAGTACTCAGGACGGCGGAATTCGCTCCTTACGTTGTGTTCATTGCGGCTCCCCAGCTACAAAATATCGCTGACGTAAGTCTATAACCCATTCACCAACTTAATTCCTTATAACAAAACATCCGTAGTTCGACGGTAGTTTGGAACGCTTAGCCAAAGAATCGGAAATGTTGAAGCAAGCCTACGGCCACTATTTCGACCTGATAATCGTCAATAACGACATCGACGAGACCATCGGTGCCTTGGAGACCGCTATCGAGAAAGTCCAGACCACGCCCCAATGGATACCGGTCTCTTGGGTCTACTGACAGCACGAGAACCTCGACTACTACGGGTCACTTCAGTATTTTTAACAGTGAATACGACGGCGACCTTGTGTAAGGTTCGCCATTGATTTTCAAGAACAAAACGATGATGGACAATGAAAGCGCATAGATTTAGATGGATACCCAAAGATTGGTACCATCAAAATTTCTATTTAGTTGGCTTGCAAATACGGCCTAACTACAGACAGATTTATTTGTTGTTATGTTGTCAGTACACGTTATTTTCATCATAATTGGAATTGAGTTATCTGAAATAGTATTAGTATAATTTTTTTTTTCACATTTATGGGTTTCATCTATATCTATGCAGCTTAAAAACTTATCAGTTAGTGCACCAATTCCATATGATTATTATTATTATCAGTCTTAGGTTTCCTATTGGGCATTTAATTTTGTGTGTGAAAATATATTGAAGTTCTTCACTAAATTTCCACTTAGTGATTTGGGGCACTTACTGTATAAGAAGTTATTCCCCGATATTGAACGCATGATTTGACATTTTTAAACTGATTTCACAATCTATAGAAATATTATTTATTTTTGGAAAAAATCACGCCATTACCAAAACCAATATACTGACCAAAGACTTTCTTTTGTGCTTGTTTATTATTATTTATCTATTACTTTATTTTGTTTTACATTCTATATTATTTCATAATGTCAGTAATTGAAAGAAAATATTAAGACTACCAGTACTTTCTTAATAATATATTAATGAAATGGACTTCCAAAGATCAATTAACTTTATTAGATCTATAGGTAGGTTTTTTAAATAATAATATTTTGGAAAGAAACATCACCATATTACTTTTAGAAATGTTTCAGATACAAAATGCAATTTATCATTTTCCGATAAATTTACAAAACTGTGGAATATTAAAGTTCATATTTCACGAGGAAAAGTTTAAATTGCATTATTCTATCTATAATGCAAGTTGCTTATTTTTGTTTTTAATTAAAATTGCCATATTAGTAATTATTATTGTTGGGTAATTTTGGTCTTATTGTTATGTTGCACAAAATTAGTTTTTCTGGTGAATACCTAATGTTTTACTTTTTTTTAACCACTGCCTGATTTTTACCAGAAAAACGAGTTTTGTATTTAAGAGTTATTTTATATAGTTTTAAGTAGGTTTAAAGTTTTGTTTAGGGGAAAATGTATCCATATTATTTTGCAGGTGAATATTTTGAAAAGGAAAAGAGATTTATTTAGTTGTTTTATTTATTTTGTTATTTATATTTTCTGTATCAAACTACTATCAAATTGAAGCAAAACAAGAACAAGCATTAAAAAAAATTACCAGTCAGAGCAAATTTCATTGGTTGAAAATAGTCAGAAAATTGTTTGTTGGTGCTTCGCACCAATTACGAACTCTCTGACTGATTGGTTGTGATTTCTGTCAAAAAAGACCTGATGTTAAAATAGCTCTTTTTTGAGTGGGAGAGAGAAAAACGAAAGGGGTTACTATTGTCTGGCCAACAAATCTGAAGCTGGGCATGTAGCTGTAGTAGAATGTGGCAGATTCCATTCATAAAATAGACAGTGGCGTGCGGAATTTTTTAACTGTATATCGTATTGCAACCTCGATTGCAACTCATATACGAAAATTGGCAATGCGACCAAACTCATATCACTAGATATTTCCATACAAGTCGATACTTCGAAATGGGATGATAAAATCCTGACCAATAGTGAGACGTTTTCCCCATGGCGATCGCACAGTTTATACCGTACCGATACAGTTGTTCAACTCCGTTGACAAACCATTGATTTTTTTGAAGCCAAATTCTATGTCCCCATATTTCGCGCTTGCGCATTATTGATCGGAAACAACGAATCCTGGGCCGTGGACAGAGTCGGACTAGGATTTTTTGTGGATTAACATTGAGAATATAACGGGATCATATAATAATAAACAAAGATTATGTGAATATATAGAGTTAACCTAATATGAAATATGTAAATATAAATACTTACAGTCGTTCATCGTTCGGGAAACTAAAATATCCTAAGCCTGGGCTAGTTCCAGTGTTGTTTTTACAGACAAAACAGGAAGCAACCATGATAATACACAATATATAAACGATAAAACAGTCAAGTACACAAAAATCGCGAATAGCGCGGAAAGCAAAACACTCTTTAGCCGAATTTCAAATTGATGAATTTTCCGGTTACTTTTCAATTTCCTGAATAATTTCAGTCAAAAAAACTTCTCTTCTTTTTTTGTAATACAATCCTGTTGCGTGTCTCGTTTGACAGTTATTTCTCGCGGGTTTCTCACCCAAGCTATCTCTGTCTCTTTTTTGCGTGCAGGATTGGAAAGAGACATGTATGTGCCGAACTGCTTTTTCAATTTGAGAGATTTGTTCACTCATTGAGCGCATGCGCAAGATATGGGTCAAAATGCTCCTATTGGTTGGAGAATTTGGCCTTAAAAAATATGGAGAGTTGTACAACTGTATCGGCGATCGTGTGACAAACGCCACCAATGAGGTCAGTCCAGGCCGCATGTTTGCCAAATTGACAAAAGCTGATGATCTCTTGAGAAAATGTTCACCTTTTATCAATGATAAACAAAATTGAAGAAATCAGTTAATAAATAAAAATACATCTAACAACCACTAGTTTCAGATCTCAATGCTTCAGATCCACTAGCCAGACAATAGTAGCGGCAACATTGTAAATGTGAAGTGCGTCAATGGCGTACTTTTCTAAAATCGGCGCCAAAAATCAAATTCGAGGTTTTAAAAAAGTCGCACTATTTTTAAAAAAAGTTATTTTTTACAAGATTCAAAATGTCCTCGTTTCCATCTGAAAATTATAAATGTTAGTGAAGTTATGTGAAACCGGATTAAGGGCCGGTTTATCAATGAGGGTTACCCTATGAGTTAGGGACAACTCTGGGTCAAAAAAGCGGTGCTTATGAAATTATAACCTCAAAATTTGTTACCTACAGCAAGGATAATACACACTATTAAAATATTCTCCTTGTTTATTTCTACATTTATCGATAATTTATAATAACACAGATCGAAATTAGCAATAAATAATTAAATAATAGCTTTGGAAAAACCAATTTCAAAGGTTTGGGAGGTTTTACGGATTATTTGGAAATTTTTAATGAAAATACAAAGAATCTCTTTTACCTTTACAAGGCCAACTGCCAGGCACTTTATTTTACATTTTTCGGCACTAAATCGGCCAAAAATCAACCAAACTGTGGAAAATATGAACAAAACATTTTTTGCGACGTCATATTATGTACTGTCAATACTACCAACTGCCTTGAACGTCAAAAATTGAAAAAATTACAAGGCCTACTTGGTTTCTATATGGCAATTCAATCCATATGGCAGCCACAGTCAAACAATGAAATTGAGGCCGAAGAAAAACCAATACACAGTAAAAAAAAAAACACAGATATTTAACTGTTTATTGCTACATTTATCAATAATTTATAATAATAGGGATTGAAATTAGCAATAAATAATCAAATGTTAATTATTAATGCAGGCTTCAGAAAGGCAATTTCAAAATTTACGGATTATCTGGGGATTTTTGATGAAAATTCAAAAAATCGCTCTTACCTTTAAAAGGCCAACTCAGAGGCACTTTAATTCACACTTTTTCGTATTTAATCACTTGAAAAACACTAAATTTAAAAAATATAAACAAAATATTTTGTACGACGTCATATTGTGTACTGTCAATAGTACCAACTGTTTTAAATGTCAAAAATTAAAAAAATTACAAGGCCTACTTGGTGTTTATATGGCAATCCCTTTGAATATAAAACTACAGGAAGGAGCGTTTCCTATCTGCCACCACAGACAACGCAATAACTCCAAATATGGACTCATCATTTGTTTTGGTGGTTCGCTGTGTCCTCATTCAAGTGGAGGTTTAATGGATTTTAGCGGTTTTAAGTGATAATAAGCACTAGTATTAGTGCGAAAAGAGTGAGTCATAATATTAACAATCATATTTAAATAAATATACGCGAGTGCCAAACCGGAAACTAGTCGGCCATATGCAACCTCCACATTTTCTGGTCGCGCAGATTCGAGGTTATGCTCCTTCCTGTAGTTTTATATTCAAAGGGCAATCCACAGTCAAACAGTGAAATTGGCACCGAGAAATAACAAACGCACAGATGTTTATCCGTTGACGCCATATTGAATTAAGGTTTTGACAGGTGGTTAAGTGTCTCGCCGTAATTCGCATAAATTAATAATAAATGTCATTTTTTGTATTGTTTATTTGCAATAGAGTCACTATTTGCGAAAAACACAATAAGAAAGAGCTAAGCACATAAAATATTCATAAACGTCACCCAACCAGCAAAGTAGTTTTATAATTTCATCGCTCTGCGACTGTTTTATTTTATTCGTATTTTATTATTGCTTCCAAAATACTAATTAATTTTATAAGAGTGGGGATGAAAACTATTCTGTCACTAAAGCTGAAGTGTTTTATAAATTTATCATGGAAACGTTTCTAAGTGCGACACTATAAAACAAATACAAAAGTCGAGCCTATAAAATAAAATTGTTTTATAACTGTTTTCAGCAAATTTCTGCGATATTATTATGACTCTTATAAATATATTATAAAATTATTTTAAAGTAGCATTTAGTTGCTTTAATAAAACGATTATATTAAAGTATCAATGAGAACTATTTGGTTTCCCCAAGTAAAGAGTTTCCTTAGTGATCGATATAAAACTGCTTTATACAATGTTATTTGGGTTACAATATAAACACAAAAACAAAGTTCTTATAAAATTAAATTGTTTTTATGGTAATCATTTTGCTATCCCTAACAACAATAAAACAATTTTGTGTTGCATTTGCTGATGTGGTTATTGATTAGTTTTTTACGCCATTTTCATTAATTGACATGAGTGTGTGCGTGTTCCTCATCAATTCCAGTTAAGAGTGCGTGAATAACTGTAGAAATGTCGCAATTATCGCAGTGGAAAAAAATTAAGAAAAGTGGCGCCTTCCGCAGAAGATTGAAAATTTGTTACGAAAAAATGATCAGTAGTGATAATAAGGATACCAGTTTTGACAATGGTAAAACGAACGATTTAAACATAACCCAGGAATCTACCAATTTGAACGACAGTGTTTCAGACATCACAAGTGTCAGTAATAGTAACAATTCACTGATCGAAACCGAAATCTCTAGACAAGCTAGTGATAAAAATGCATCAAATCTACCAGCGGCAGAAGACCACTCAGAAGACCAGGAAATTTGTGACGATGAAGATGAAGTCAAAAAGAATTGGCTTTTAGAATTAGAGTGTGAAGAAAATAATTCCATGCAAGATATTGAGAAAAACATAGCTTTTAGAAAAAATGTTAGACAATGGGCAGTTTCCTTCAATATCCCCCAGACAGCACTGCGAGCTCTTTTCCAAAATATAAATAAAAGACTTCCTAATGTACTTCCGCAAGACCCCAGAACGCTTTTGAAAACATACAAATCGATTGTGATGATTAAAATTGGTGATAATGGTTTTTATTGGCATCATGGGTTTGAATTCAGTTTACGGCAAGTTTTACTTTCTATGCATGATTTGCGAAAATCGATTTCTGTGAATATCAATATGGATGGTCTGCCCATTTATAAAAGCAGTAAATGTGAATTTTGGCCCATACTATTCAATATTTACGAACTGCCTGAAATAAAACCCATGATAGTAGGCATATACTGTGGAAAGGGAAAGCCGTCCAACTTATCTGCATTTTTGGGACCTTTCGTCGAAGAAGCCAAAATCATTCTTTCAAATGGATTGATCATAAGTGGTAACCACGTTACTGTGAAATTGAGATGCTTTGTATGTGACTCACCTGCCAGGGCATTCATCAAAGGTAATTTCTTTTTTATAAGTATATGTTAGCTTGAGTTTTCATTTAAACATTTTCAGGTGTAACCAACTTTAACAGTAAACAGGGATGTATCAAGTGTACCACAATTGGAGAGTACTCACATCTTTCTCATACAGTATTTTTTCCAAGAGCTGGCTGCGCGAAGAGAACAGATTCCGGATTTCGAACAAAGTTGTATGGCTCGCATCATAAACAAGAAACTCCACTAACTTCATTGCCCATTGATATGATTGAAGATTTTCCGGTTGGGGATTCTCTTCACCTAATTGACTTAGGTGTAATGAAAAGGTGTTTAGTAGGATGGAGAGATGGTAGTTTTGGCACATATAAAACTAAATGGTGTGGAAAAGATATTGCTATTGTTTCAAATTTTCTAGAGAACTGTAAATTACCTTCTGAAATTCACAGGTCTGTGAGGGGATTAGATGTTTTGTGTCATTGGAAAGCTTCGGAATTTCACGCGTTTTTACATTATTTGAGCATTGTTATTCTTAAAGATGTAATACCTCTTGATGTATTCCAACACTTCCTCAATTTTTTTTGTGCAACAACAATATGTTCATCCAAATTTTATGTGCAATTTCTCAATTTAGCTGAAGCACTGTTGAATAATTATGTTGAAAATTATCGAGATTTTTATGGAGAAGATTACATAACCAGCAATGTTCATAATCTAACGCATTTAGTTGACGAAGTGCGAAGGTATGGCCCTTTATCGACCTTTAATGCGTATCCCTTCGAAAATCGACTTTATCAAATTAAAAATTTATTGAGAAATGGAAATTTGCCACTCGCCCAAGTTGCAAAAAGAATGAGTGAAATTATGCAATGTGAAAACGAATGTGTAAACAATAATAACATTACCTCATTTCCTGTCCTAAAAAAAAAGAATAACACAGGCTTATTCCTCAAAATTGACTTTCAAGGGTTTTCTCTGGCTACAGATTATAGTAATAAGTGGTTTCTTACTAAAACTGGCGAAATTGTATTTATGGAGCATGCCTTAGTCAGAAACAACATTGTTTTTATTAATGGTGGTACTGTGAATGATTTAGAAGAGGTTTTTGAGATCCCTATAAAATCCTCCTATTTAAATATATTTAAATCTCGAAGTATTATTCAAAAAACGGAACTAAAATTTTACTCAGTTAGAAATGTTAGGTGCAAAATGGTTGCCATAAAGTATAAAGACGAGACTTTTTTTATTCCTCTATTGCACTCTTTGCTTTAAGTATGTGATAAATAAACGATAAATAAATGTCAAAAATCTTGAAGCCTTGTTGAAAATTCGCCAAATTTTGAATATTCTAGGTATGAAATGAACTAGAAATTCTTTTGATATGAAAAACTTTTATATTACATAATATCACAAGAATTTACAAAACTCAATAACTTTTTCTAAAATATCTAACTGAAAATGTAACCCTAACATAAAAAATTAATAATGTAATAAAAATGTAATATAAAAACCGACAATTATTTCATTTCCTCATTTTCATCACTGCTTACCTCTGATGGGTCATAGTTTTCGTCAGCAATACTCATCTGAAATTAAAAGGTAGGAGAAATTAGTTGATAATATTTTAATCGCTAAAATACTTACATTGTTACTGCTCTCATTTTCCACCTCCAGAATATTTTCTCCTGTGGTCTCTTCTGTTGTATTATTACTTGTAACAAGCTTTGCCTTTCCAGTCTGAAAAAATATACAAATGTTACAACTATTAGCTATATATGCTATTGCTAAAAATTCGTATTTGAATTTTTTTATGTAGTTGTACTTGCCTTATAAGAAAGACTATTGGGTCTTCGTTTTTTTCCCGAACTTCTCACCATGGCACTTTCATTTCTTTTGGTGGAATTTCTTATAATACCCTTAAAAAATGCTTCACAATCTTTTAGGGTGAAGTTGTCGTCAGATAGCCTCACTACTCTGAAGAATAAATTTATGATATTTTTGAATACTTTGAAGGGAATTTTTTCCTTTCCATCCCTTGCGCCTCCAGCCCAGGAACATAATATGAATAGTTTTCTAGAGAAGAGTTTGTCTACTAGTATATAGCAATTATTTATTCCACTGCTGTTCCCTTTCCTTCCGCAAACGTAACTAAATTTTTTTATGTACTCCTCCATATTCTTCTGATCTGCCAATCTGGATTCGAGCTCCTGAAGCTCTGAGGAGGTACTGATTAGATCAAAGAAAATATCATCTTCAGTTTGTAACAAGGATGAGCATGGAGTTAAAGTCTTGCATGAACAGGTGTTAGCTTTTGAATTACTAGCAGCTAAACTGTCAAGCATCACTTCTAGTTTAGCAAGTTGCTGCAGAATTGTTGATTTCTGGTTTTCTGGGTTAGTTGGATCTTTAAAATTATCAATAATTTCTTGCTGCCTTTGCATTAAACTCTTTTGGTTAGCTATAATTGTATCCAATTTTTCACTCATTTGGACAGCCGTCGTGATTGCTTGAGTGTCAAAAAGGGAACTGAAATTTGCATCATTATTTGCTGGTAGTATCTCGTACGTAATTGATGGTTCCGTATTGACCACATTTGTTGATAAAACGACCTCAGTAGCTAACACATCATCCAAGGTTTCTTGAGCTTTCTGCATGGGCGTATTCTGCAAAATATTAAACTAGTTACTTAAATGATAGATTTACTGCCTGGAATAATAATCAGTCTGTTATCTATAGGTGTTATACTAATATGTTTAAACATATGATTTTTATGAATATAATTTACCATTAAACATTGATTTGCCAGACTATTAAAGTCATTTTGAGCCTCGGATTTTTTCTTTGGAAATATCATTCTAGGGCGCTTTTTGGGCTGAATAATTTCTGTAATTTCCTCTTGTTCGGTGTCATCATTCTCTAACATTCTCTCTAGCTCTTCTTCGGCGATTTCATGGCTTATCAAATGATTTCTCTTCAATTTACAAGGCATTGTAAACCAATTACTCTCTGGTACTGAATTTGGATTTTTGATTAGTTTATCTGCCCCCATTTTTGGCCACGAAAGTTGGTTGTTATCAACCCATCCTCCAGGGACTATTGTTAATTGTTTTAGGCCTTGTTCAATAGTTTGAACTATCTTGAACATGATGCCTAAAAATCATTAAAAAGTTTATCAAGGCACCTATATTAGGTATCATTCAAATAAGTTACCTGCTATTTTTATATGTATTTTTCTATAAATTTCACTTGGAAGCACTTTTATAGGTTAGGTATTATTGCCTGACAATAACAGAGACGCGACTCGCGTGGGGTATAAAAATGTATCAGGGGCAACAAATATGTTTTATAAGAGTCGCCAAAAAGTCGCGAATTAGCGAATAAGTTGCCAGTTAGCAATATATGCTCCATTTTGCTCGGCAATGACAGTATCAAAGTTGCGTGAGGTATTAAAATGTGCCAGGGACAACAAATTTGTTTC